TATACGACTTGTATAATAATTGTATATGATAACATTAATTACCAACAATATATAAAAAATAATGCTTAAAATATGCTCAAGTATAATACACGATTCTACTTCATTTTCTCATTTAGTTCAAACATTATTTCACCTTTTATCTTAGATTATACATAATAATATTTTCACTCGAGCTTCTATTTCTCATGCTTTTGTTCGAAATTCAACATATATTAAACATCCATAATTATGTTGCGATACTCATATAAGTTGAGACTTGTAAATGACTCTAGCCCAATTAATAAAACTGAAATTGGAGCACAGCTAAATTTCAACATTCGATCGTTTAAATAAATAGACCTGCAAAATATACAGGAGGTATCACGGGTAAGACCATTCATTTTGAGCACGAACGCCGTTGCGCCTACGAAACTAGACTTCCTCTAAAAACTTTCTCTTCGAATGGCAAGGTACGTTCAGGTCATAAACCGTCGTTCCTTGTTTCCAGCATGCCGTTATTATACAGCCCACGATTTTGTTGACCCATACAATTTTCGCGATGCGCAGTTTTAAAATTCGTGCGCGCTCTTTTTCTGCTCTCATTTTTGCTACTAACCAACAAACGGAACATTATAAATAGCCTCTTGACACATGAATTTCAATTATAAAGCTATTTTAATGAGTTTTGTTTATTCTAGGAAGGTAAAAATGTACGTAACCCGCGTGTAGCCGAGCAACGGAATATAAGAGTAGTTGTAATGTCAGGCTCACATTTTATTTTGTACTCTAGTATAGAAATATTAAGATGCAAACCAAATAACGATTTACTCAAAACAAATATAAAGAAACAGGTATTTTGATTTATTGTTAAAAGGTAAAGAAAAAAATATTTTGGTTGAATATATATGAATAAGCTTCTAAAACTCCTGATTGGATTGCATATTCATAATATTGTAAAATTTTGTACATCAAAAATTGTGGTGGTATGTAGGAGATAAAACAAAAATTATTCAAATTAATTCGATATCGACTGTCATAAATAACATACATTGTGTCATATATATTAGACATAATTCTGAAGGAATGTGTGTATTTCAACACACAAACCAATATTCAAAAACGATTTCTTGTTTGTACTCTAAAATATTGGGAATTTTACTCGGCGAAGTTACGAACTTCCGTTATCTACGAAATAATTCCACTACGATAACAACAGTTTATACTACAAATAGCGTTTTAATTACATTTATAAAAGCTTATAAATTTATACTAGAAAAGAAATCCACGAATCTGATCTAACAGTTACTATTAAACCAAGTATCTCATGAAAATAGATTTAATAATTGTTTGAGCGCTTTATTTTTAACAATCATTATTTAAATATACATTAAAAATATTATATTCATTGATTTGTGCTCAAGTTTAAAATCACTTTTTTACGTAGAGACATGTTTTTAATTAAACTATATTTATATATGACTTCAAAGTTTTATACTTTAAGATAGCAAAGAAAAAACTGGCAAAACAGATCACAAAATTTTTCTAGATGTGTAGTTTTCTACATTCCTTATTTATTTTCCTATTACAGAAATGGTTTAATGGGAGGTATAATTGTTTCTCAAAATTGCGCACAAAATCAAATCCATCAATAAGATAACAAGATTTCCCTGAGGTAATGAAAAAAGGCACGATCATCCAGATATTGTGCTGGAACCATGACGACAGAGATAGAGAATGAAATGCCAACATGGCAGAAAGAAAGGGAGAAAAAGAGCGAAACAGCAAATGCGTTCGATAGCGCCATGTAAAAAATATAACCTAAAAAATGTTTTATTAAATCTATAATAATAGCAACAATGACTAAGTTGCGCTCGCATTAATTGTAAATTGAAACAATTGCCGGAGTTCCTAATTGCGAAATCTCTCATTACATTAAATTTCAAGGTTAAGTTATCACATTTATTATCGAGAATATAATCTGTCTATCGCGATCCCCAAATTTCAGATGTAATTAAGTAAAGAAAGCAAACAAATTTATTACACTTACCATTTGAAGATTGAGTGAGTCCGTGATGATCGCGGCGGACAGATATAGAAAAGAACAGAGAGAGAGAGAGAGAGAGAGAGAGAGAGAGAGAGAGTAAGTGACAGCTTGAAAACGTAGTGGATTCTGGCGCGCCAAAAAAAAAGAATACACAATGATCCCGCACACTAATTCTGCTTATTTCTTTCACTTCTCCCAAGCCCTGTAAAGTCTCACTATCCAATGGAACGTCGGCGAGTTAAAGAAGACAAGGCGTGATAGCACACACTCGTATACGTGCGATTGTGTTCACGCGCGCGCGCGTTTGCCTGCATGTGTTTTTGTCGATATTGGTTATTAAAATTTTAATTATGATATGCATATGCATACATACAGGCATACATGCATATATGCATGCATGCGTGCATATATGCATACATACATGTATATATATATATATATATATATATATATATATATATATATATATATATATATATATATATAATGATATATATATTATTAAGAGACTTGCGTGGCGTGCGTACACTTTGTTGGGAGCGCGCGATTCTCTTGCTTCTATTGTCAACCGTCGGTACAGGCTACTCGCTCCTTCGCCTACGCACGCATACGCGCCAAGGCCCAGGACTGCGCCAGAGGCGATGACAGCAGCTGCGCTCTCTACGCCGTAGTCTTGTACGTGTGCACGCTTCTTTAGCAGCGCGCACGATTCATCCGCACCCACAATTCGATATCACTTGGAGCTGTGTAAAGTCGAGCGCGAGTCTCGTCATGTGACCGTCAGCATTTGAATTAAGTTCCTCGTACCTCTTTGAACACGACGGTGTTCCGTCACTTTTTAGTTGGCCTAACTGGCTGGGCTGCAAGTGCCCTTTGTGCAAATCACATGGCTCTGTTGTTCATATGCTGATGCGTTTATAGTAGCCCTTGCTGTATATTAATTGCTATTTGCGGTCTTATTTCAAGCATTTTGCGAAAAGTTCGATAATTGTTCAGCATACGTGGCGGGGGGGGGGGGAGAATGTACAGGGGGCGTCATCTTACACTAAGGTTCATCATTTACTTTATGAGCGCTTATTTCAAATAATTTCACGCTAATGTAAAATTTATTAGGAATTTATGTTTGCTATTGACTAATTAAATATAGGAGTAGTTTTATAATTGAATACAAATTTCTTGTGATTGCTTTTTTATTTTAAATTTAAATAATATCAATTCGAATGTTTATCTTAAGAGTTAAATTAAAATCATAATTTAAAAATCGAATTTATAAGCTTTAATAATTGATAGGATAATCATGTCGATAATTCATGCAATTTCCGTTTTCTTTGGTCATTTGTACAATTGATACAATACAATATTAGATCTTTGATAATAATGCCACTTAATAGTTGTTGCTGATAGAACCTATAAGATTAACAATCAGAAAATTTTCTTACATAACCTTTTACTTTTTGTATCTTCTTTAAGTTGAATGATTCATGAAACATATGATGTAAAGTAGTTCTAAATTTATAGCTTGATATGTAAATAGCAAATATATATAAGTCAATTAAACCATGATGCACTTTGATATATGTTACAAATTCTCATACATTTCGTGATCTTTGTGATTGATTAAATTAGTCAATTTCTATATATGAGATAAATTGAAATTAATTCTTACGTTGCCTAATTAATTAATTTAGAATAATTATTACAAAAAGACAACATTTAAACATTGATTTTTTAACGATTTGTGCAGTATATTCAATATAAATTCCTGAAGTATTCTATATTTACATTTATTAAATATAATACGATGAAGTATTTGTATTAATATCAAAAGTAATATTTTTTTTAAGTTTAATTCGTGAAATAACAAAAACAGTAATCTATATTTCCATTATCGATCGACGTGACGATATTTATGAACTTTCAGAAATCATGACAAAACTGACTATAAATACCATGGCGGAAAAATAGTAGGAGGCAAATCGCCAAAATTGAGATGCAGCGTATTTATTTTGCATTATACAATGAATATTTTTCATGCTCAGACCAGCACTTTTAAAAATATAAGCACTTATAAATGATTATATTCCATTTAGTTAATTCTTTATTACTTTTGAGATTAATGATATTTATATTCTTCAAACTATATTGCTATTAAATGTTTGAAATAAATATATTTTATTATTACTATTTTCTGTTTTATACAAATTTTGTTTTTAGATATTTAGTTCTTTAATTTATTTACATTTCTTATGCTTCAGAGAATTTAAAATAATTAGGATAGAATATGTGCATTTGCGGATGCATGCATATACACATACACGAATAGGTGCTCTGCAGTGCATGAGTGTGTTTGATGCTTATAAACTGTAAAGTACACCCTTTCTTGGCTGCGAGCGCTAAGAGATAGTTTTGTACGTTATGTACAATTTTGCAAGCGATGTGTACGAGCGATCCGTGCATAGCCAAATGTGATTATTGCATTAACAATCATCAAATGAATCATTAAAAAAATTTATACAGAAACTTTATACAATTCATATTGATAGTTTCTGAACTATTGAATTCGTCGATTTTTAAATCGGCAGAGAACAGCTATGTGTCAGAACACAATAATGGAATACGAAACTGTTTCCATCATTTATGCTCGTGACACTAGACATGTATTTTAGATGGCTGCGTGCGATCGATCAGTGACGTGTGAATAAAGTTTGGACCGTAACCTCAAATATTCTCGTAACAAAGCTGAAGATGACCATTTATTATTATCCAGCTTTAAAATTAAAAGTACGAATAATCCAGCGATAGGTGCAGAGAATTACGAAACCTAAAAGAAATTCTAATTTGAAAAAGATTTAAAAGTTAAGGATGGCAATGGTGAATTAACTAGTAACAGCTAACACCAGCGCGTACCGGGTTCGCGCATGTTCCGTCTCTCTCCTGTAGTTTCAGCGAAGATTGAAAAAGAGGAGTCTTTCTTGCCGTTGCGGTCGTTTCATCAACGAGCAGTGGATAAGTGATAAACCGAGCCGTAGTCCATAGTGGTATGTTGTCGGCGTTTAAACGCAGTTGCACAAAGTGACGCGCGAGTACGCGTGGCAAATGTCAGACCAAGAGTCGTCATCAACGAACAACAGCTTTTACAACCTGTGACAGTTGGATAAACGACCACGACGTTATGGATGGACACCAGGTAACATCTACCACAGATAAATGGAAGGTCAAAAATTCTTTATACATGTATGCCTAGATTTCATAAAAATTTGGCACTGTCATTAAAATTTAATCTAAATATGCTGAAATTGGGAGAAAATTTTTTTTAAATGACAATTAACAACTTTTCGGCACTACTCTTTATCCTTGTGTTTATTATTAGATTCACCAATAAGGTCACTACACTATTTGTTTACTTTGGCAAAACTTTATTTGTAGGTGCGAGCGCTCTATGACTTTTGTGGTGAGCCAGGATCTGCTGAATTATCTATCATAGCTGGGGAAGTGCTGACCGTTATGAGAGATAATGTTGGAGATGGCTGGTGCGAAGGATTTAATCAAAATGGTCAATCGGGTCTTTTTCCTGCTGCATATGTTCAAGTAATTGAAGCAACTGTCCCAACAACAGGTTGTTTGTATTTTACTATTATTTTACAGGATTTAATGTATGCTTTTATAATTTTATGCAATGAAAATATATTCAAGATTTTTATTATATCAATTGACATTCGTTTGAAATAAAAATAACATCAAAATTGAAATAAAAATTTAAAACATTTATTCTTAATATTATTGTTGCTTAATTTATCTTTAGTAATATAATTATAACTCTTTTAAAAATTTAATATTATATTTTTGTTTATAGCAGTTTCTAAACTTTAGTTTTATTATATTTTATATTTATATATAAAACATTATAGTCATTAAAAATTTTAAGTTTCTTATAAATATTTTAGTTATTCTAATATAATTGACAAGATATAATTGAGTATTACGAAATCTGATTAATAACTATAAATTTGATATTTATTAGTTTAATATTGATGAATTTTTACTTATATTAAGTTATTTAAAATAAAAATTTATCATAATTTATAATATTCTGATGAAGCAATTGTATCATTTGAAATGATATGAAATACAAATGCTTTTCTATGGTAGTTTATGTATTTCATAAATTATTAAAATACATATAAATATAAAGTTTTTATTCCAATTTTATCCAAATAATTAACATTTTTGGACAAATGAAATTTTAAATAAATAGTATGCTATTTAATTTTTTATAACTTTCTATCTTTGATTAAATATACAGAATTCCATGAAAAATAAAATAATCTACATTTGATGAATTAAAATTTTCATTTATATAAAAATAATTTATCATCATTTTCAATAATTCTTAATCAGTATAAGATAATAAAGTTTATTTTTCATTTAGCTAATACAGCAAATTCACAACAAAATACAGGTGATTACTGGGATGACGATTGGGATGATGATTCTGAAATTGGTCAAACGCAAGCCTATGTACCACCTGTTCAACATCAACCTAGTATGCAATCAGCCCAAGACTTATATAGTGATACTCTATCTATACATACCATTCACTCAGTAATACCAGATAGATCGATTCCCAGTGTACCAAAGAAGAATAACAAGTTCTCCACTCTGGTTAAGTCAGGTGAAGAAGGATTTCTTCTTTGCTCAAAAAAAGTGATGGTGCCAGAATCCGAAAAAATGTTTATTGAAGAAGTTGAAGGTGGTCGCTTTGCTTGGATTTCAACTGGTGAAAGTTATAATTGCGTTGTTACTTCACCAAAAAAAGAATCTAAGCTCAAGGGTTTGAAGAGTTTTATTGTATACCAGCTCACCCCTACAGTAATTATATTATTCAAATAATATTTAATTAGATACTGTTATGTCGTAGATTATGTAACAATTGGTAATGGCCTATTCTCATCTATGTTGATGCTTTAGTTTAAATAATAATTTTAAAAGTAGTATATCTTTTATATATTATAATTCTTATAGATCTACTAATATCTTAGGTGTTACAAAAATAATTACGCTCTTACTTATACAACTATTTTCAAATCTTACAGCGTTCAAGTTATATATAAGTAAATTCTATAAATTTTGAAAATACAAAATTCTCCTCATATTTTTTAGTCATCAACATTATTTTATATTATACAGATTGACTACGTGGGGCTCTGCTTTAATCAGACGAGTTTTTCTCTTATTTCATAGTGTCTACAGCAGTTACTAACGATTAGAAATTGTTTTATTACTGTTTAATTGAATCTCATTAGGCTTTTTGACCCAATTACGAGTGTGCTCACAATTAACAAAATTGTTACACTGTGTATTTGTCATTGTGTTAACCTGGAACCGTTAAAATGTAATTTATTGCCCGGAACCATTGACCATTCGTTAAAAAATCGATGACCTGAAACAAACTTTAAATTTAATTGCTGGTTTTATAAATCGAAGTCGACTTGACTCCTTTAAATGCTAATATTCGCAATGTTTTGGCTTCCTCGGCGCAGTTCAACAACATTCAGGTATCACGCAGATACAAGCACTTCGACTGGTTGCACGAGCGGCTCGAGGAAAAATTCTGCTTCATTCCAATACCACCATTACCAGACAAACAAATATCCGGGCGCTACGAGGAGCAGTTCATCGAGCATCGACGTACCCAGCTCCAGGAGTTCGTCGATTATGTCTGCCGGCACCCGGTGTTATCACGGAGCCGCGTCTGGCAGCACTTCATCACGTGCACGGACGAGAAGCGTTGGAAGGCTGGAAAGCGCCATGCCGAGAAGGAGGAGCTCCTTGGAGTCAACTGCTTCCATGGAGTCCAGTGTACCGACACGCCTCTTGATGCCGTTAAAGTCGAGTTTCAGACTGATGGATTCGCTAGGTAATACTTGGGGGAAAATATCTTTTCGAAATTCCCGTCACGCAATCATAACGTCAATAATTAATTACAACAATTAATATTTGTAATGGTAATAGCATAAAGTATAATCATTTTTTATGTATAAACTGTTAATTTTCTATATATAAAGTTAAATTGTAAAATAATTTTTCTGAATGTACAAATTTTACAATCACGATGCTTAACAAATCTGGCGATTCAATATTAATAAACAAGCATTAAATATTTTGCGAAAGCATTGTCGTTAAAAATTATTCAAATTTACTAACATCTTAAAAGCATTAAATTTAATAATAAAATATCAAAGCTGACTTGCCTTAAGGTCTCAAAAAAATGGTTTTAGACGTCTTTAAAAGTATATGGCTCGCTTCTTTTGTAACAAGTTGTAACAATCGGGCAAACGGATATTTCATTAGTATTTATTCTTAGCTATTTATGACAATCCGGTTGACCGAAAGGAATACATTTTTCACATATTGCATATTGTCTCCCAAATAGTTTTCGATACGGAGTCTCGTAAATTGATCATATATTACCCCTTGAACTTCATATATTTAATCGTCATATAAGTTCACCTTAGCAGAGTATTCGCAGCGAATAGAGTATTGGTAACATTGATATTAAAGCTAGAATTCATTATATTGATTACGTATAGAATAAGAAAAAGGTATCATTGAAAATCTGAATCAAATCTGAATCATTAATTTTCGTTAAAGTTAAATCATCTGGATCTATATATATATCAGAACTTTGTAATTTCCATTTTACACTGAATTTCTATTTAAAGTGAAAATAAGTGAAAAAATTGTTTTATTTCAAACAATATCACCATAAGGGGAACATTTAAATATATTGGTTTGTAAGTTTACACCTCAACTTATTGATTGAATAATTAAAATCAATCAATCAAAATGTAGTAATGAATTTAATAGTTTTCACACAAATGTAAATTGAATATAAATTATAGTTTTCACACAAACGTAAATTAAGATATCCGTTGGAAAAATGATTGATTTTATCATGTATTGTAATTGATTAAAATTGGCAAACGCAGTGATTCATAAGAAATAATGAAATGAGAAATATACGAGAGTTACATATAAATTAAAATGATTATTACAGTCGGTACAGTGATGTCAATAGTTAAATGGTTGCCAATGACAGGTTCATCGCTGGCCTGGATCCCGTAGTAAAAAATTTGATGGCTATGGCGACGGATCAAGCTAAGAAGCATCAGGTTCTCTATAAACGAGAGTTTCAAAAGATCGGACAGTGCTTCGGAGCACTCGGAATAGCCCTCGAGGCTGACGACTTAGGAAGGACGCGTGGACGTCTCAATCAGGCACTCAAGGACACGGGTGAGGCCTACAATGAAATTGGTAAACTCTACGAGGAGCAGCCGAAATATGACTGGGAGCCCCTTGCTGACAAGTTTCACATTTATCGAGGAATTATTAGCAATTTTTCTGATGTCATTAGTATACATAAGGTACGATTGAAAGTGATATTCGATCAAAATTATTATTATCATTTATATTAATTTACTAATTAATTGTTTATACTGTAAGAAACTGTTCAATAATAATGTTATATTATTGTAATAGTCTCGTAGTTCTTTAAAGACGATTTTCATGTATAATAATGAATAAAAAGAATTTCATTAAAAATCATTTATATGATCTCAATTGTATTTTTTTAATTATTTTTCGATAAGTAAGTGGAGTTTTTATGATTTCATACTAAATATGATTGTAATATGATTGTACATGAAAAAAAGTACTCGAAACCTACGAATTTTAATCTTATGTAATTACTATTTGATGACTAAAATATAAGTATAGAGCTAAAAATTCAAATAACTAGTTGTTAATAATTAATATTTCTTATCAATAATTTATAAATAATAGATTATAATTTTTTATAGTTTATTAAATTGATATTTCGACAAGTATAGTAATATAATATACAATTCTGACTGATTTATTTTAAATCCGTTGTTCCAAAGATTAAAATAAATATTGTGACCTATGTTTAACAAAATTTGTCATTTTTATAATATTTTTCTAATATTGTAGTGATATCAATATGAATGTTATAGACCGCAGTGCTAAAGCGAAGGGAGTGCGAGAAACTGGTAAATGAACACAAGATGGAGACGCAGCAGCTACGGGAGCTAAACCAGCGGACTGACGTGATTGCACGTGCCCTCGGAGCAGAGGAAATGCATTTCCAAACGGAACGTGATATCCATGTCAGTCAAACGATTAAGAACCACCTCGTCGAGCAAATAAGCTTTTATCAGAAAATCGTTAATAAATTACAGGACGCGCTTAACTCTTTCGATGCTTAATGAACAATTATTTGTATTTTTCAAATTGCCTTTCTATGAAAATGCCTATTTATGAAATCACGAGTCAACAACGACTATTGCTAACGGATATTTACTTAGAAAATGAACACTTGCATGATGCACAAGGGGTTGTTTCCTTCTCCTTTTTTTATTTTGTTTTAACTTTTAAAGTTTTGTAAAGTGTAAAGATTCACTCGAGTGTTCTGTTTGTTAAAGCTGTCCGAATTTTGCATGCAAAATGTGATATATGTTGTATTAATCACATTTTGCTATTATTATTGCTTCTGCAATGTCCCACAGTTTACTGTTTCATATAATAGCGCAAATTTTTACATGTAATGGTGTATTTTCATTTTTTGCTTAATAATATTGAAAAATTAATGAATACTTTTTAGTGTACATTAATTTGATTCCTTAAATAATAATAATACCTAAAAAGAATAATACATTTTTATATTTATCAATTTGAAATTTATTTATAATTAAATTACAATTTAATGTAAAGATGTAATTCATTTATAATGTTTACTTGAATTATAAATGAAAGAATGCTTTAATTATTATATCTATTAATATACAAATTGTTTGCATTTTTAGGTTTCAATTTTTTATAGAGGTGTGTAATATGATTTTTTGTATAACTTAATTAAGATTAAATTAAGATTACACTTAAACAATTATTGTATGAGAAAAAAGTTTCGATCATGATGTACAAATTTTTAAATATAGTTTTTCGTAGTTTGTATTTATAACCCCTTCAATATTAAGATCTATATAAAGATTGATGATTTACATCCTTCATTCGAATATTAATTTGCATGAATTAAAGTACTTTTAAACTTTCCTGGATGAAATTGTTTAACACATTAAAGATTTGCCAGATATGAATTTACACCTTTACTTTATTGAAAATTAATGGGATATTAAGTTAAGTAATGATCGATCATAAAGCGTTTTAATAATGATTTATTGATCTTTATAAATTTGCAACGATTATTTTTACCGAAGATAAATATAATTTATGGTTAAAAATGAGATAAAAATAATGGCGATTTCTAATGTAAAACGAATCGCTTATTCAATGCATTTTCTTTAAACTATATGGATTGTAAAATATATAAATTGTAATTATGACAATAATATCAATATTATGTAAATTAATTATGTACATTACCTATATCTAAGATAATAATGCCAGGCGGGCAAAACTCTTTAGAAATGAAAAATTAAAATCGCTTTACATAAAGTATACTTTTTTAAAAAAAAATTTTGGAAGACTTTACATAGAAGTTTTTATTTTTTAATGTATTGAATTATAATCTACTCTTAAAAAATGTAATATAAACTTTTATTCTTATAAATCCATTTCTATAGATATGGAAAAAAATTTCCACTAGAATTGAAGCTTTTGAGAGCTTTTATAATGACAAATATTGTGAAATAACTGGAAGTAACAAATGCAAATATAATAAATCACTTTACGCTATAAGATTATTGTGCATATTAAAACTCTTAAAAGTATCTACAAATATGTGTCGTATTTGCATTTCAAAATTTTCTATCTATTTTATGAATAACAAAGTAAATAATTGTTTCTATTATTAGTCAACAAGAAATATGCGATCTTGAACAATGGAAAAATAGCTCTTATCCAAAAATTAATTATTTTTGTAACGTTTAATACTATGTTTATTAAAAAAAAAATTCTCATTTGAGGCAGAATTATTAACAAATGCCTTTTATTATTTTACCCCGAAATTATTGATATTAGTTATTTAAAATAAATATAATTTTATTGGTACATATATATTTAAATTCTTATATTATTTTCTTTTCATACTTTGTGTATAATTTAAAATTTAAAGTGGCTAAAAGTTTACCAAAAGCAATAGCAATTTATTATGCATAAAATGAAATAGCAATTTTATAATTAAATAAAATTTGTATGGTAAAATTATTATGTAAGTATTTTATGCTTCAAATTTTGAATGAAGATTAAATAATACCGAGACACAAAAATTTTGTACGAGGCTTGATTTTTTAAGAGCCATTAAAATTGATGTCTTTAATATTTTTTTTTGTTATTTCTTCTTTTATTTCTTTTTCATATAACTGTAATGTTGTATTTTTATATTAATGAAAAGTATAAATTATATTATGACAAAACAGATTAGAAAACTCCAAGATGGAAATATCATACAGTAAATGAAAAGTTAATAAAAATTATGAATTGAGTTATATAAACATATAAGTATACATTATATCAATAACTACACTAAATAAATGAACTAGATATATTCACATGTATACATGCATAATACTTATACTTTGACTTCATATAATTAATCTTAAATTTTACTTAAAAAAATGAATAAGAGTTTTTCTATTTTCTATTACACTTAATTGTCACATAATACACAAATAAGATATGTATTATAAACTGATTAATGATATTAAATAATCAAACACGAGCGTACAAGTAAACTCATAAACTGGAATTTTTTCTTGAATCATCTTAATGATGACCATTTGTGCATGCAATTGCAAGCAGTGATTCAGCGAATTTCTAGGTTGCTGATTCACCGTAAATTATAACCGATGGATTTTGCTTAAGACGTTACGGTATTATAGTGAAATATAAGAAATAAAATGTCTAGCAAGATTTGATATTTTTCATCTATTTATTTAAACTTTATTTTTATAACAATCCGGATATAATGTGTCTTTTATTTATTAACAAAATTTGATATAACAAATTTTTTAGATCAATATTCATGTTAGTACTTTGGAAGCTCCGAAATATCGATGATCTTTCAGGATGCATGATTTTTATATACGTATAGAGTCCACTCGTAAATAGAATTCTATTGTACTTCTAGTTCTAATTCTATTGAACTACCTATACCTTCCTATACTCTAATACATGAATAATTTAACAGTGCGTATCGTCCTTACATAACAAAAACTTGTGCAACCTTAATTGAAAGTAGGAAAAGTATAACAATTATAAAAACTAATTGAATAAATGAATGTAATATCAATGAAAGAGAAAGAAGTGCAAGTGTATTCTTTCTGATGCTTCAATATTAGTACAAGAGGTTGTTTCGTGAATCAAGAATTCCACATTGAATGATATGTATGTTCAGCGAATGTGTTTGAATGATCCGATAAACAATGGTAGAAACCCCTGAAATTATTATCATTTCAACGTTAGTAATGAACGTCGGTCTAATAGGAAGAACACCCTTTCCTGTTACATTGTTAGGAACTGATGATAAGGCAAAATTGTATTCATCAAAACCAGTTTCTTGGTAAATTCATAGCCTTATACGGAAAAGTGATTTTGATGCAATTGCGTTTTGCGATGTTGTGCAATTCTGAAGTAAATGTTCTTTAGTGCGTGTTTATGGCTAGGTTACGTTATAATCGAATTAGGTGGAGAATCTGATGTGTATTTTTTAAATGAATTCGATCCAAGTTAATAATTCCGATTTTTTTTCTTTTGTTTTTATTTTAAATAAACTTAACAATCAATGTAAGTACCCAAACGGTTATAAATGTTAACCTAACAAAATGTAATCTTTTAGTCCAAAGATTAAAAAATAATTATATCATGGACTCTCAGCAAATATTTTACTTTACAATTATGAAATTATAAGTTTGAATTAAATATTACAGTTTAATTTAACCAAATTAATTAATTTATTTTATTTCCACTAAATTAGAAGCTTAGTTTTATACTTATGCTGCTTTCAATAGCACAATTAATATGTTAGAAATCAACTTAATGTACATGACATCTTTTATTGTTATATATATATATATGTGTGTGTGTGTGTGTGTGTATTCTGCATGCTATTTCTCTTAATATAAATAACTTTTATCTTCATATAGTAATAAGATTCTAATATATAAAATAAATTAATGTGGCTATAATTTCCAATTGATCAGAAATAAATTTCATGCTTTAACTTTTAATGTTCATATCTATTATCTTATTCATAATGAATAAAGCATAGCTGAAATTAAAATTTTAATTAACATAATTAACAAAATTATTGCAATTATAATTTTGATAAGCAGCTAAATATTGGAAAAAATTCTATTAGCGGACATCTAATTCAATTGCTTATCTTCCCTTTATCATTTTATATTATTTTTTTATTAAATATTAAATTTAAGGTACGAAGCAACCGGTGAAACTTAACTCACTACTATTATTTAAAGTCGTCTTTCTTATCTGTCGAGTGCACGCGCAGTTGCAATTCTTCAGTTTACATACTGCGAAATGTAGCCGATGATCTTACTTTAATAAAATCCTGCGGGACAACCGATATTGGTAGCTCCACTGTTTTACACTACGAGAAATTTCTGGGAATTGTTTATGGCAAGGGCACGGGTAATCATAAACACTTAAAAAAATCTTTTTTCTTTACCTTTTGATTTATGTATGTATTTCTTTATGTCAATATTTTTCTATTTTCTTTTTTTTTTTTTTTACACAACAATATCAGTCTGAATTCACATACTTATTTGTTGGTTAACAATTATAAAGAGTTGCTGCTAAATAACAAGCTTTTATTTTATATTTTTACTGTCACGTTCGCATTATTCGTTAAATATAAATATAATACATAACACACTGGCACTCAATCATTTTATGTCTATTTTATTCTTATTTAAAGTTTGCAATCAGTCATCTATTCATTAAAATGGCACTACATGATCTGCATTTTCATTGCTCTCTAATGTTTTGTTATTTATGCTGCTTTTCATAGAGACTTTTGTGGGAAAACTTGCATTTATTTTATAAACGAGATTTTCTATTTTTATTCTCCAATTGCAACAATTATATTACAACCTTTTTTGGACAGTTCTAAATTGCTCCTTTCATTAAATGTCTTAGTTTATTTCTTTAATAATTAAAAATTACTGAACAGGTAAAAATAGAAGATATTTGAAAAGAGATCATTACACAAAGCCTTTGTTTTCATACCATTAATATTCAAATCTAAAAAATAATATAGTTTATTCGTTGCTTGTTTAGTCTTTCATGATCATCA